AACGATTACAGAGAAAAGGATTACAACTTAAAACACCTACAACCACTATTGTAGAGAGGTCACATCTGTACAAGGTATGCAGCATTGCTGTTTAAAAAGATCCTGTTTAAAAAATGCAAGCAACTTTTGATGTTTTATAAAATGCACATTTCCTCAGTGAGGCGGCACACTGTGCACCATTCAGTTTAAATGAATTTTTTTATATTAACTAATTCATACTGAGCTTGATACAAAGACATGGTAATTGAACAACAGCATTATCAATATAGGGTTTTCAAGAGGTGCTTTGAAAGGGAAGTAAACAGAAAGTGAGCATACCTTGAGAGGAAATTTGAAAGGAAGCATGGAGTTAAATGAGAGCAAATTAGCAACAAGAGAAAAACACAACATTATTATGTAAAAGTTGCATTCACTTTGCAGAACAGTAATATACAGAAACAAATTCTTATCTTTTAATCAGAAACACCTGAATTTTTCCTGTACTCTTGAACACAAAAATGTGTATTATTTCCTATAAAAATTATTAAAAAATTTGGCTTTGCAGACATCCATTTTTAATTGGCCTCTTATCACTAATAAAAGATTAATAAAATTAAAAACTAGCAAGGCCGACTGGAAAACACTGACTTCCTTGGGGCAAAATCTGAATCTCTACAGCCACTTTTTCTTTCAAGTATACATGCAATTTGCTACATGCTAAACCGTGAGCCAAGTTCTGCCCTTACATCACCAGCAAGCTCATGGAGTGTGATAGAGCTGCATGAGATATACGTTTTCACAGGACTTGACCACATGACCCAAACCCCAGCTGATGAAAGATTACAATAACAGCATTTCCAGTTCTGACTCCCATTTTCCCACCACAGGAACTCCATGGGAGTTACATGCCTAGGTGCCGAAAATCCCACTATAAGTAACTCCCAATTCCTTTAGAGGAGTCACTTGGTTCTAACCGCAGAAGAAATAGGTCCCTGGAACTTGACAGCCTTAACCTACCATACTCATGCAATACTTTTTAATAAAAGACCTTGCTTTTACAGCAGCAATTGCTTACTCTGTCCCCTTACTTCTGCATGAATACAGAGCAAAATGAAAAGACATTGACTCGTAGAACCTGCAAGGAAACGATTTTGCTCAAAACAAGTTACGAATTTGACTGTGCTTTGTTTCAGAGTAACAGCCGAGTTAGTCTGTATTCGCAAAAAGAAAAGGAGTACTTGTGGCACCTTAGAGACTAACCAATTTATTTGAGCATGAGCTTTCGTGTCACGAAAGCTCATGCTCAAATAAATTGGTTAGTCTCTAAGGTGCCACAAGTACTCCTTTTCTTTTCACTGTGCTTTGTGTGGCTTTTCATTTTCTGTGTAGATTCTCCATTTAAAGAAATGTCTGAACTACCACGAGTGGATTCTCAATACTTTAGCTCACTATGCTGACAACACAGTAGTCTTTGATAGAAGAACAAAACGGCTGGAACAAATGTTGATTCCATAGAGGGATGTACTGAACACTGCGAATAGCTGTTATCTGATTCAGGTTAGACAAATCCTATTAAACACAGAGAGTGGAGTACAGGGATATATCCAGTGGTGAGGTGGAGCTGGTTCCCACCGGTTCGCTAGAAATGGTTGTTAAATTTAGAAGTCCTTTTAGAACGGGTTGTTCCGCGAGGGACAACCGGTTCTAAAAGGCCTTCTAAATTTAACTGGCCAAAAGTGGTGCCTTGGCGCCGACTCCGTGGGTGCTCCGGGGCTGGAGCACCAACCGGCAGCTCCTCGCCCCACCCCCACCCCCGGCTCCAGTTCACCTCCTTTCCGCCTCTGCCTCCTCCCCTGAACGCGCCGCCCCGCTCTGCTTCTCCGCCCCCACCCACAGGCTTCCCGCAAATCAGCTGTTCGCACGGGAAGCCGGGGCGGGCTGAGAAGCAGGCTGTGGTTTCGCACTCAGGCCCAGGGAGGCAGAGGTAAGCTGGGGCGGGGGTGGGGGGGCGCGAGGAGGGCTGCCCGCGCCACATCAGGTAACCCTGGGAGGGGGAGGGGGGGCAGGGGAACCGCTCCTCGCCCCAGCTCACCTCCGCCACCCTCGGCCTGAGCGGGAAGCCGCCGCCTGCTTCTCAGCCCTCCCAGGCTTCCCGCCTAACAGCTGATTTGCAGGGGGGTGGGGGACGCGCAGAGAAGCAGAGTGGGGCGGTGCGTTCGGGGCGGAGGCGGAGGTGAGGTGAGCTGGGGCCGGGCGCAGGGTGGGGAGCTGCTGGTGGGTGCTCTGCACCCACCAAATTTTCTCCGTGGGTGCTCCAGCCACCCACAAGACCCTCCTGCCCAGTTCTGGGGGCAGTCAGGGGACGGGGAGGGGAGTGGATGGAGCAGGGGACCTGGGGGGCATCAAGGAACGCGGGGGGGCTGGATGGGGCAGGAGTCCCGGGGGGCGGTGGTGGGCAATGACCCCCTCATGGGGTGAGGAGGGAACCAGTTGTTAAGATTTTGGCAGCTCATCACTGGATATATCCTCTGGATTATCCACAGAGAATACTCATCCATTATAGATCTAACTAGCCAAGAGATGTCAGTTATTCCACACAAAGGTGGCTGAAAGAGCCTTTATTAGGTAGCACAAAAGTGACCTCTCCAGAATGCTCGTTGGCATCTCTCTAAAAGTGCTGTACACTCTCACACAAGAAATGTATTCAGGCAAACTCACAATGGAAGAATGAATCCCTTTTAATGCCAATAAAATATAATGAAACAGTCAATATAATCAATGTGCTATGAATGATGTTTCTTCCTGACAAAGGTATGGATTCAAAATGGAATGCTTGGGAATAGTCCTTTTCTATGGAAAATAAACTGACTCAACACTCAAAGTAACAGTGTTTCTGGAACTTAAAACATTTTACATTTTTTTGGTAAAAACTCATTTAACTATCTGGCCTTCTGTTATCATTAAAGATAACAGAACAGCTGAATGTTGTCTTCAGTGGATGTTTCATGTATTAATATTAAGTTAAAAGTTATAGCTGGACATATTTACTGCCATCTCTGTATACTTGGTATTTCCAAGTCATCTATAATTGTGGTATTGATAAAGATAGAATATATTCAATTCATTATGCAAAATATACAAGGCCAAACAGGTCAAAGAGTCACATGAGAACTTAACAAAAAAAACCCTATGCACTTCTATTTACTGTCAATAAACAGGTCTAGTGGAAACAGCATAATGCCTGCAGCTTTCCATGTGATGTCCCGGTGCTTATTTCCCGGTCCTTTAAATTGGGCAAACACATGGTCAACAGCAATTTAAATGCTATCACTGCTCCGTATCTTTAACAGCAAGCAAAGGGGCATAGTTTGGGTACAGATTTTGGGACTAAACCACAAACACAGTGCATAAACATGAGGAACAAGCTAAAAGCTATAGATATACCATCAGGTAGCTCATTGGAACACTTACTCGTTTAACAGATTTCTTGCTAACATTACTGTATGCACATATTTAGGAAAATGTGTTGTGCACATAACTTTAAAAAAAATTTAATCACTGTAATCAACTTCTCTTTCTTCACTGCTAAACTATACAAATTGCTAACCTTCAAATATAACACATTTAGTTCGACACTTCTTACATGTCCTAAATCTCTAATGAAATTAATAGGAGATTTGGGTGTGAAAGGAGTACAGGGTCAGGATCAACTCTAGATTATAAGTGATGAAATCCTGGCCCTTTTAAGACAATGGAACTTTTGCCCTTGACTTCAACAGGGCTAGGATTACACCCAAGATTTCTCTTTTTATATAGACTATGAAAATCTGGTAATTTGTCAAAGACTTAGGCATTGTCTGTACATTCAGAGGGGCACAGAAAGCATGTGGAAATGGGCTCTACTTGTTTTGAATATGAGTGCTGATTGAGAAATCATTTGGCTCTCTAAGGTAATAAATATACGTTCACACTTTGTTAAAGAGGAAAGGGCATACTGTTTGTACTAAATAAGTCTAATTTTTTTATAATTATGGTAGCTATACAATGACTTTAAAAATATTATTATACAAACCAGTGAAGATCCATTACTATAAAGCTACGTAGATTTAGTGCTTATCACAGATGTCACCAATGTATTTTAATGATGTATGCATAGAAACATTTTTACTTTGTTATTTAAAAAACATTTTGAAGTGTGCATTGTTCAATCAAGAGAACTTGAGCACTCTCCAGTGCTTTGTAAATTTTTCTTTAAAAAGCAATCAAATTCTACTTAATATCAGTATTTGTATTAAAATAGAGCTAACATCAAATCTGTTTTCCTAACGGCTTATTTAGAAAGACTATTTGCATGAAAAAAATTAATTTTATGAACACTGGCAACACTTCTTAGAAGTCCACATTGACTATGAACACAAGGAGATCAGACAAGACTAGATTTACATAATGATACACATACAGTACAATACATAACGACTCTTAGAGATGGAGAAATGAATATATGAATGTGATAGTAAACAAATTAGTAATAGATGAATGGATGGTGCAATGGAAACAAATAGAAAATTAAAGCTCGAAGGAAAATTAAAAGGTCAGCATAAGCTGAGACCGGCATGGAGGTGTTTTAAAGTGCTGTTGCATGTGGTTTTTGAAGCAGTTCTTATTTTGCAAAGCAAAATAAATATGTTATATGCACCAAGCAGATGACCGTAAAATGAGATATGCAGCAAAAACACGGTAGCCCTCCAAGCATTGCTGAAAATGTAAAACCCTATGCATTTTACAGTCTCAACATGGTGTATATAAGTTTTTTCAGAAATGCGTGAATGGCATTAAAGGCAATGCCACTCGCACACTTACTAGTGAATAAGAATAGTGGCTTGGTGATGAAGCTTAGCATTGGATGGAATGTTAAACAAAAAATTTGGAATTGAAAAAATTAAGAAAGTAACATATATGCACCATGGCATCAGCATATGACCATAAAATGCAAAAAGGTGATGGAATGATATGGAACAAACCTTGGAGAAATATCGCATCCTTGCTGCATAAAGGCACCCAGGGAAAACCAAAGGCTGTTAAATATTCCAAACTCATTTGGAGGGTCGGGAGGGTTCTGGGGGTCACGCGGTTCTTCATTGTTGTCTTCCAAATGCCATTCATAAGGACTGAATCTGCTGACTAGGAAAAGAACTACGCTGACTCCAATGTAAGCAAAGACTATACACATCCAAATTTCATAAGCCAAAGGATCCAGAAAGGAAAATACGCCAGGTTTAGATTTCTGAGGCTTCTTGATCATGATGGAGATGCCCAGACTCATAAAAGGTTTTGAAAAGTCTATGACTTCTTCTCGTACCAAGGTTATGGTGAGTGGAGCAACAGCTATGTCTGCTCTCTGAAAAGAGAGAACATACTGGAGTTAGTTGTAAAACAGTCACCACGAATTACAATCTAGTCTCAAACAAAATAATTAAATGATAAAGCCAATAAAGAATTATAAGAATCATTGGGTTAAAATTTCGTTGCAAATTGCATGTGTTTTGGAATCATTAAAATGATTAAGAACATTATATTATTGATAGAAAGTTAATAATAATGAAAAATTATGCATAATTCTACATGAGGGGCACAATGAAGAAGGGGCGTGTAACCTAGCTACATATGTTTTCCAGCTATTATGGATAAAAAAAGTGAGCTGTCCAATTAAATAATTCTGTACTTCCTGAATATGAAGAGGGTTATGTAACACAGTTTTACTATAATCTTCACATTGAATTTTGCTTTATCAAGTAGTCATAAACTCTCATTAAAACTGTCATAAAGCCAAAATCTGTCATTCAACAGGATTATGTTAAAATTGAAAGCACATGTGGATTATTTTGATGACAGGCCTTTAGTGTCCATTTTGATTCCTTAACAAGGCATTTGTTAATTTTTTTCCTAAATTCTAGGAAGGGATAATAACAACAACACCTGGAACTATCAGGACTAGCTGAGAATGTTTGTTGTTATATTTCTCTTACATACAATCTAGAAGTGTTATGACATGACAAGGGTTTTCTCCCTGTTGCTTTTGTTGTTTACCAGTGATAATCTGTGTCTGGAATATGCTTTGAGGACATAATGGACAAATACTGTGGTTCTCTATGGTTTGATTTTCTCTCTCTCTCTCTCTCTCTCTCTTTTTATTTTAGCAAGATCAGCTCAGACTGATTTGTTAATGTAGGCTGGGATTTTCAAAGGATCTAATGGAAGTAGGCACCCAAATCCCACTGATTTATAGCAAAATAGGCAAATAAAGTTGGAAACGTTGTGATGGGATATGAGACAGTGACTTTCCCACCTAGCTGAGACAACACTGTTTAGCACAGGTGGAATTTTCACTGTAAAATCAAGAAGGGCAATTAATTGGCTACTACAAGGATGAAGCATCCAGAAAAAATGAGCAGTTTTTATTTATACACAAACCATAATCTCATCATATTCTAGTCTAAGGGCTTGTCTTCACTACCGGGGTAAGTCGATCTAAATTATGCTACTCCAGCTACATGAATAATGTAGCTGGACTCGACATAGCTTAGGTCGACTTACCCCGCTGTCTTCACTGCACTGCGTCGACAGGAGACGCTCTCCGGTCGACTTCTCTTACTTTTCTTGGGGAGCTGGAGTACCGGAGTCAGCCGGAGAGTGCTCTGTTGTTGATTTAGCAGGTCTTCACTAGACCCACTAAATCAATCCCCGCTGCAGCAGCATCGATCTCCCCGGTAGTGAAGAGGAGCCCTGAAGTACTGTAATTGCAGAAGAGCTCTCTTCCTCTGGTTTTCTGCAGAAGCGAGTGTTTCTGGCGATCCTTTTCATTTACATTGCATTGGAACCATGGAATACTCTCATGCTAATTTAACAGTGGTAATACAGGTCAGCCAGTGCATATGTAATAAATAGCTTGTATTGTTTGGGAAGATTGCAATGTTAGTTTCAGAGGAACAGCCGTGTTAGTCTGTATTCGCAAAAAGAAAAGGAGCACTTGTGGCACCTTAGAGACTAACCAATTTATTTGAGCATAAGCTTTCTTTTTGCAATGTTAGTGTGTTTCAAATACAACATGGATCTTGCATCTAACTGTTTGATGGAGGGGGAGGCTGTGTTAGGGTTGCCAACTTTCTACGCACACAGAACCAAACACCCTTGCCCCACCCCTGCCCTGCTCCTCCTCTGAGGCCCCTACTCCACCACTTTTCTGAGGCTCCACCCCCTCACTTCCCCTCCTCCCCCCTGTCACTGACTCTCCCCACCCTCACTCACTCACTCACTCACTCATTTTCACTGGGCTGGGGCAGGGGGTTGGGATGTGGGGGGGGGGAGTGGGTGTGCGTGAGGGCTCTGGCTGGGGGTGCAAGCTCTGGTGTGGGGCTGGAGATGAGGGATTTGAGGTTCAGGAGGGGGGCTCCGGGCTGGGGCTGAGGTGCTTGCAGTGTGGGAGGGGGCTCTGGGCTCGGGCACGGGATTGGGGCACGGGGTGTGTGTGTCGGGGTGCAGACTCTGGGCGGCGCTTACCTCAGGTGGCTCCCGGAAGCAGCAGCATGTCCCCACTCTGGCTCCTACGCAGAGGCGCAGCCAGGCAGCCAGGCACCCCCATCCGGAGGCGCCGTCCCTGCAGCTCCATTGGCTGCGGTTCCCAGCCAACGGGAGCTGCAGAGGCTGCACTTGGGGTGTGGGCAGCTCACGGAGCCCCCTGGCTGCCCCTACATGTTGGAGCTGGAGGGGGGACATGCTGCTGCTTCCAGGAGCCGCATGGAGCCACGGTAGGTAGGGAGCCTGCTTTAGCCCTGCTGCACCACTGACTGGACTTTTAACGGCCCAATCAGTGGTGCTGACCGGAGCCACCAGGGTCCCTTTTTGACAGGGCATTCCGGTCAAAAACTGGACACCTGGCAACCCTAGGCTGTATGTGTCTAAAATCCACCCGATAGCTGTCTCCATGTTTGGCTGATTACTTTTCTTTTATGATCTAGAAACACTACAAGGCTAGTCTCATGGCATTTCCCCATTTACTTTCTCACATTTGGTTGTAGTAAGAATATAGCAAGTAGTACTCAACATGTATCTTTCCTTATAGTATCATAGCTAATGATTTTGGCATAAAGCTTGGCTGAGGGCTACTGATGAGGCTGGATTGGTGCAGGTAACCAATGGAGCTCTTATACAAATCAGGGCCCAGTTCTACTCCACTAACTTCAGTAAGCACAGAATCCAGTACTGAGGGATATGACAACACTGGGGATTTTTAACCAGCCTTATACAACATTTTTTCTACCACCTAATGAAACTGAATTGGGTCAATTTGGGCAGATTTATCGGAAAAGCTTAAGGGGGAAGATAGCATGTTCTAACTATTACAGCTTCACAAGTTTTTGCCTTAAGCGAAAGCTCATGGTGGAATTCTCCCTCTTTCACTGTACTGTAACCTTCACAAAGTAATAATGCTCCAGAGAACTGGGAAAAGTTTTGCAATGCAAAAGTATTCACTTTCTCTATAAAAAGGGCAAGATCCGCCATCTGGTGTTAGCCAGAGTAACTCCCCTGAAGGAAATGAACCTATGCCAGTTTTCACCAGCTGAGAGTCTGGCCCAAAGTGTCTAAATGAAAATAATCTGTTTCTCTTTGCCTGATGTTTGCTACCGATGGAATGCAATTTGCCTTAGAGGCATTATGAAAAGTAGCTATGAAACATATGGCGTAGGTGTAGCTGCTTTTGTAAGCTAACTGTCTCAGCTGGATTCCTCCAGAACTAATACACCAGAAGGGTTTAGTCTGCACATTTCCAACTAACAATCTGGAATACTCCTTTCTGAAGTATATTTGCAGTTAAGGAAGGCACCAAAAAGCTTTTCTGAACCAACTTAAAGCAATTTTTAAACATATATGACTTTTAAGCTTGTGCCCTAATTTTTCTGCTGCTTTTAATGTCAAATGATTGAGTTCTGGGATTAACAATCATCTGTGCCCCCCGGTGTAAAACTATTGACTTCAGTGGAGTTACAGCAGAGTTCAGTTTAACCTAATGTTTACAATGTGTGTGTAAATATCAGAAACTGCTATTTAACTAACGCAGCACTGCGTATAACTAGAGCATGAGTAGAAAGGAGATTTTAATCTTTTAAAACAAAGAGAACGCCCATGCTGTATTGGTCATGTCTCTTATCTGAGAAGGAAAAAAAATCACCTTGGAAGGGGCAATCTAATGTAAGCAAAACAGATAGACAGATAATATTTATATACAAAGGTGCACTTATTCCAGCATCAGTCAGACTTCTTTTGCAAACTGAGCTTGCAAATTCAATGGGACTACTCATGCATGTGTGCAGGACTGCACAGTGCTGTTTGTTTCTATTTTTCTAAACCCATTACTAACTACTTGAGCTAAAATGCTGAAGTGCTTGCAAAAGGAGCCTGAAAAATGAAATAATAATATAGGTTCCATTTGTGAACATTTTACTCACATTGAATAGTACCTTACTCTAGAACTAGTCTCATTGACTTCAATTAGACTATTGGTGGAGTAAGGCAGTATTCACCAAGAGTATCAGAATCTGTCCCATAGGGTTACATTTTTCAAAAGTGCCTAATTGAATTAGGAACTTAAGTCCCATCTTCAAAAATGACCTAGGCATTTAGTAGCCTCAAGCTAATAGAGTGCCTAAATCACTTTTGAAAATGGGACTAGGGGTATGTCTACACTACCCGCCAGATCCGTGGGCAGCGATCGATCCAGCAGGGATCGATTTATTGCGTCAAGTCTAGATGTGATAAATTGACCCCTGAGCGCTCTCCTGTCAACTCCTGTACTCCACCACCATGAGAGGCGCAGGCAGAGTCGACAGGGAAGCGGCAGCAGTCGACTCACCATAGTGAAGACACCGTGGTGAATAGGTCTAAGTACGTCAACTTCAGCTACATTATTCACATAGCTGAAGTTGCGTAATTTAGATCGTTCCCCACACCTAGTGTAGACCAGGGCTTAGACTCCTAAATCTCAGGCGCTGAGGTGTTTTTGAAAATTTTGCCTCTCAATCTTTGTATCCTGAAGCATCTCAACACACTTAATCTGAACTATGAACTACATATAAGGCTCACTTCTTCATTAACCACCTCTGGAAGGAACTGTAGTAACTAACAACTACCACACATTGGTTTAGAACAGGAAATCAAGGATTTATGTAGGCAGAATACCTGAGAGAGAACTTCTCTGGCTGGAATTTGGCCAGGATTCCAAGGATTCCATCCCTATTTCTGTAATTGCCATGGAGTTTTTAATGACCACAAGTGGTCAGAACATTTGTTTCACACTATATTTGAAAGGCAACAGCTGGGGCAAAAGCTAAGTGCAAACTCATT